GACTCGGCCTTTGAAGGTCTCGAGAATATTTGGATCTTGACGATTTCTGTTATTAGGCCGCGAATTTGTTGGTTTAAAGCGGTTGCGTTTCGGTAGTATTGGTTGGAAAACAAAATCTCCTTAAATTCCGACTTTAAACGATCTTCCACGCGAGAAAAATAATTCCAGAGAGGCAGAAAAAAAGTTCTGTACGTACAGTTTCAGCCACAACGTCCTAGATGGTAATTGTTGGGCGATATCAATGTAAAACTGTTCAGGAGGAGCGTGGAAAATATCGACTGTGATCTTGTAGGGTTTCTATAGTGGGTTTCTGTAGCGGTCTTCTATCTTCTCTTGTATGAGCTTTGGGAACCAAGGTCGGCTAATTCGCTGTTCGTGTTAATAAAAGTACCAGACGCGGGTCGTAACAATTGGTGACGCATTTTCTCACTCCACGATGGAGGGGAGTGCGTGGACATTAAGCTAATGTTGCATCAGCAGCTAAAGCTGATGGAAAGCCTCAGTGTCAAGCTATCAAACTCATTCGCGGGCCAATTCGGTTCTGCTGGTGGCTCACAATCCGTCGATTCCATCGCCAGCAGCATTGCGGAATTCTTTTATGATCCACAGGCCCAAATACCTTTCGACTCCTGGTACACACGATACGACGATTTGTTCTCTATCGATCTGGCTACCCAGGAAGACGCATGGAAGGTACGACTCCTCCTCCGCAAATTGGGTCTTGCCGAGCAAATCGTCTAGGCCAACTTCATCTTGCCCAAAAATCCAAGGGACATTTCCTTCAAGAAGACGTTAAAGATGTTGTCGCAGATTTTCGGTGAGCATTCTCAACTGTTCAACACCCGATTCCAGGCCTCAAAGTGTGCAAACGGAAATCTGACGATTTCATCAGGTACGCTAGCATTGTGAATCACGAGTGTGGCGTTTTCAACTCGGTTCTCGCACAGAAGAACTTTTCAAATGTCTTATATTTTTCTGCGGTCTCCAGTCCCCAAAGTAGGCCGACAGCCGGACACGTTTTCTGTCCCGCATGCAACAGAGCAGCTCAGTTACCTTCTAAGAACTGACTGTCGAATGTCAAGCACGATTCGGCCAGGTTCCAGGGCACTTCTACTACTGGTTCCGTCAATGCGGTCGCAGCAGCTAAGCCACCTCTGGTTATACTGTCTAAGCAAGCCCCCATGGCGAAATCCCCGCCCTCTCTTTGTCGGCGCTGCGGCGCGTGGCATTTCCAACGGGATCGCACATTTCGGCAACATCGCTGTCAGAAATATACACAGGTGGGGCACCGTGACGGATTCTGCCGACACTCAACTTGCGCAAGCAAGCCCGCCCTTGCCAATTCCACCTCCAAACACCGTTCCAAACCAAAAAGCAAGTTCAAACCTCAGTGTCTCGGCAATTCTTTCAGCCTGTTGGCCACATTCCAGGTTAACGCAGCTGATCGCCGGAAGTTCGTTGATCTATCTTTCAACGCTTACGCAGTCCGCTTACAACTGGACACTCCGTCAGATATCACAATCATATCTGAGAGACTCTGGCAGTCACTTGGCGCCCTCACAATGCAGCAGGCTTCTCAGCCCGCCACAAGTGCGTGCGGTGGCCTTGTCCAGTTAATGGGGCAACTGAACTGCTGTGTTTCCTTCCGCAGCACTAGCATCACTACTACGTGCTACATTCCCAATTCTAACCTTAATAGCCTTGGTCTCGACAGGATTCAACAATTTGGTTTGGTTGATTTGCCACTCTGCCTAGTTTGCAATCAAGTGCAGATTGCTGCTGTACCTGCAGACCCCGCCAACGGCATTCGCCAGGCCACCACAATGCCTGCCCCTCAAACACCAGTAGCATGGCAAACTCCGGATAGACCTTGGTCCCGTATGCACATCGATTTTGCTGGCCTACTCGACGCTGTCACTTACATGGTCGTGGTTGACGCCTACCCAAAGTGGCCCGAGATTGCACCCCTGAATCCGGCAACCACCTCTGCCACTATAGCGGTCCTACGGTGCACCTTCAACCAGCCCGGCCTTCCGGATTATCTGGTGTTGGATAATGGCTCTCAGTTTACCTCATCGAACTTTGACGATTTCTGCCGCCAACACCACATCCAGCATCTTCGCTCCCCGCTCTACTATCCCCAATCGAACGGCCGGGCGGAAAGTTTTGTTGATAAATCCAAACGAACTCTTTGGAAAGCTCGTGGGGAAGGGACTACGGGCGAGATACTGCACGCATTCCTGTTTTCCTACAGGACCACCCCTTACGCGGCGTCTTCTGGTGGTGTCTCCCCTGCCGAACCCTTAATGGAGCGGAAACTTCGAACGAAGTTCCATGTACTCTTGCTTCTAAGCTGCAATCCTCACAGTCACTAACACCTGTCGTTTTTCGTGACTACCTGGCAGGGCTTCCGGACTGGATTGAAGGGACGCTGACAGCGCACAGAGGCAGCATGCTGTTTGAGGTCTCTGTCGGTGATGACACCTAAGTTCGTCACCAAAATCAAATCCAACGACGGTAGTGCAGTAACACAACCGGACCTGAATCCGGTGCTTAACTCCCTCTCAACATCCTGTTGGACACTTTTGCCATTCCAGTAGACCAGTCAGTCCCCGAACCGAATGCCGCAACTCCTTCAGGTATACGGCTTTCGGAAACAGTTCCTGGCCCCGCACAACTAGACTGGAAACCACCCTCAAGACGCCGGACCAACCGACCACGCAGAAAATGTCTTCAAAACCACTAAATTATTCTCACTTAAGGGCTGTGTATTTTTATAGCATTCCGTTCAGACTGTCTATATTCTACCCAATTCTTGCAGACATGAACTAATCCTATCTGATGAGAGCCCTGTGGCCTCAGCCGATGTGGGACGCTATCGGGCGCATGTTCATAGCAGGCATCGTGGGACAATTCCAGAGTTGATTTTTGTTAGGACGGTCCAGCATGCGAGTCATAACTCGGACCATCCTGTGAGCACAAGAACAAAGGAATCGAACAGGCCACCGGTGTATTAAGGGCGGGCAAAGCGAGCGACCTTCAAAAGCTGACACCCGAGGACGCAAGGACAGCCACCGGCCAGGTTCTAATGTCACGCATGACAAGGGCTACGAAAGAACGCATGCGCGTGCGCACGTCTCTGAGGCCGCAACGTGTCATCCAGCGGACACCCCATGATGGCTGCATGCAGAGGGACCAATAGGTAACAAAGGCTGTTGGTCCTTAAATACGACGCCACGAATAGAAGGCGCACTCTGTTGCCGAGACACGCTACCGACGATCCGAGATTATTGCTGCTGGAGACAGGGGATTTTGTTTGCCGAGACCGACGACAGAACACGATGCTGACGGAATCAGGACAAGCTGCTGGACCCACAGAAGACAACGGTGATGTACAAACAGAACTAGTGACAGTAAACTATTTTATGCTATCCTGTTCTGCCTTCTCTCCCTAACATGCAACTTGTACTTACATGTACTTGTCACGGATGTGATCGTGCCTAATCTAGCTGGCCTCAATGATGTCAGTCAGTCAATCAGTATATTTGAGGAAAAAATAGGTTTGCGCCTTTGAA